GTGCCAGCCCGAGCCAAAGGCCCACGGGGCCGAAAGAGGAGGCTTGGGGAGGCAGAGGAGATGGCCGACCCTCAGCTGATGGCATCTACCCTGGAGACATGCAAGGGCCTCCTGAGGTCCATCTTGACCTACTGGGGACCAGTGATCCCTGTTCCTGACCCCACTCAGGAGCCTGTGGACTCAGCCAGCCCCGAGAGCAATGCACCAGGCCCCGTGTATGCCGCCGCTTCCCTGGCAGTCAGTTGGGTGCTGCGGTCGGTGGCCGAGCACCCGCTCAGCAGGGCAGAGGCTGCAGGACTGGTTGGCTGGCTTAAGAGCCACATTTTGCCACACCCTGTGGTCGTGGCTGACCTCCTTAAGGACGGTGCCGTGAGGAGCAGCATATTCAAGCTGTATAGCCGGCTCTGTGGGGCCGAGGGGCTGGCGGGGCCTGCGCAGGAGGTGGCCTGCCTGTTCAATCTGGTCATGCTGCAGCTGGTGGCCGCCCAGGGCCAGGCAGGGAGCCCCTTCCACCCGGCCATGGAAGCTCTCTGCCTGTCTTCTCTGAGTGAGAAGGACGAAGCCACACGAGGTAAGGCTGGTTTTTTCGTTGGAGGCTGAAGAAATGGATGCAGAAGTGGGTCTGGGGCAGGAGTGACTTCTGTGCTTGGAATGCTTAGGTTTCTGCCGACTTCCTCAGCTGGCTATTGTGCCTGTTTAGGTGGCCTCTTACGGTTCTGGGGTTGTAGAGAACTTGCCACTGGGCAGTGAATGTGAAGGGGAGGAAGTTTGTCTTCACTTGCAGGGGAAACCTTTGGTGCTGGTTGTGTTGACGGTGCAGAGAGGGCACCGCAGAACCTTGGCATCCCTCCACCCCGCGGGGCAGTCGGTTTCCGACCATTAGCCATGTGACGAGTTCTGTCTCACACGTGGCCAGCTGCGTGTGTACGTGTGTGTGCGCATGTAGCTTCACACGCGTACAAATGTGCCCATGTGCAGTCTGTGTACTTGGCAGTCACTAGGTAGGAGCCTAGCAGTGTGAATGAGTGAGTAGCACAGGCTCCAGGGGGCCATTAGAGCTCCAGGGAGGTGGGTGTGGTAACCCAGAGGGCTGTCCTTTCACGGAGGAATGTGGGGGTGCAGGGGAGGGAGGGGCCAGCAGCCTAGCGGGTGGACTCACCTGGTAGCAGGGGCGACCTCGCCCTCTGGTCTGGCCGCAGTCGGGGAGTTGAGCCTTTTTGCCTGCAAAGCTTTCTCTTCCTCCTTACCCGTGCCACTGAGGAAATGGTAGGAAATGATTCTGGGAGGTTCTTCTCAAACTTCAGTCTCATTCTTGGCATGGACGGTCAGAACCAGGAAGAGACTTGTCTTGTAACAGCTTTTTGAGGGGATCCACACATGTTCATCAGAAGAAAGATAAATTTTGCCAGGCACAGTGGCTCACACCTATAATCCTAGCACTTTGGGAAGCTGAGGTGGGGAGACCGCTTGAGACCAGCCTGGCCAACATAGTGAAACCCTGTCTCTACAAAAGTTAGCTGGGCATGGTGGCACATGCCTGTAGTCCCAGCTACTCTGGAGGCTGAGGTGGGAGGATCACCTGAGCCCAGGCCGTCGAGGCTGCAGTGAGCTGAGATCACGCTACTGCACTCCAGTCTGGGTGACAGAGTGAGACCTGTCTTTTTCTTTAAAAAAAAAAAAAAAGAAAGAAAAAAATTTTTTAGTAAAAAAGATTAACACAAAAGTTAAGCAAAGGCAGAATGAGTTGTTGTATCGGTCTGCTCACCTTGGGTTGCACAGGCCTGTCGCACGGTTTATTTGGGCACTTGGCAAAGCCATTGCGTTGTGGGCAGGATGACCTGTTTTCGAGCTGAGCAGGTGTGCATCCTGACGGCCTATCCCCTGCTCTTGTTCAGCCTCCGCAGCATTCCTGGTGTCTCTCTACATAAAGGACATCTGGCTGGGGGCCCAGCGGCCTGACACCCTCTTAGCCCACATCCGGATGGTGTGTGAGGCCGCAGATGATGCTCCGAGCAGTGAAGAGGAGGCCATCGTGGTGCTCTGCAAGGATGTCGCCAGTGCAGCCTCAGATGCTTGACTCCTGCCGGCCAGCGCCTTGCGCCCTGATGACCAGAGCCTCAAGCACAGCACCGGCTTCTAGAAGTTTGGTTGAGTCAAGGGTTTCCGGAGAAGGCGTGGGAAACAACAAGTTCAGTACATTGACTCAGTTCTCTGACAAGAAAAGTCGAGAGGACTTTATTGAACAGGCCAGTAAATGATAAACTCGGGCCTGTGTGTGCCCCGCATCAGAGTTGCAGGGAATGTGGGGACTTCCAGGCCATGAGGCCCATCCATTGCCTTGTCAGGTCAGGCCAGCCCCTTCCTCTCTAGGGGCTTGGAGCTCGTCACAGGAAATAGCTCAAGTTTGAGGCACTTCTGAATGCAGAAGAGATTCATGTGTGTTAAAGCTGAAATGTCAAAAGGTATCAGGGTTTTTTTTATAAAAACGACGAGATATGTTTAAATTTTATTTTTCAGCTGGGTGAGGTGGCTCATGCCTCTAATCCCAGCACTTTGGGAGGCCAAGGCGGGTGGGTAACCTAAGGTCAGGAGTTCAAGACCAGCCTTCCCAACATGGTGAAACCCCATCTCTACTAAAAATACAAAAATTAGCTGGACGCAGTGGTGTACGCCTGAAATTCCATCTGCTCGGGAGGCTAAGGCAGGGGAATCGCTTGAAACTGGGAGGTGGAGGCTGCAGTGAGCCGAGATTGTGCCACTGTGCTCCAACCTAGGCGACAGAGCAAGACTCCATCTCAAAAAAATAAATAAAATAAAGTTTATTTTTCTATAAAAAGTCATAACAAAGTTTAGTATGACTTTTTGAATAAGTTAATTTCTGCCAATGTTTCTTAATTATTTTATTAAATAAAAGATGTTACACTGAATCCTTAAAGTGTAAAAGTGATTTGACCTCTGCTTTGAGAAGACAGCCTGTAATTTTTAAAGTTATACTTCAAAGAGGGGATTTTGAATTTTATAAATGCTTGTTAATAAATGTCTATTTTTGTAAGGTTTTTGTGTTTTCCTTTCATTGTTAAAGAGGCTATTTTTGTTCCACGTAGGCCTGCGTTTATTTTAAAGGTCAGAATTTTACTATTAATGGTCATATATTCGTTGGTGGTGTAGCTGACAGTCATGAAATTTCGTGGTTTTCGCAGTTAAAATTTCTGTCTGTTCCTTTAAAACTCTCCTGCATTCTTGGGGTCTGCTCTGTGGCCTAGGACATGTCTGTTTTATTTGCCATATAACGTACATCACGCTGACAATGCCTTGGTTTTGTCTGAAACATTTACACTTTTATTTTCTTTTTCTTTTTCTTTTTTTTTTTTTTTTTGAGATGGAGTCTCGCACTGTCGCCCAGGCTGGAGTGCAGTGGCCGTATCTCAGCTCACTGCAAGCTCCGCCTCCCGGGTTCACGCCATTCTCCTGCCTCCCGAGTAGCTGGGACTACAGGCGCCCGCCACCACGCTCGGCTAGTTTTTTGGGTTTTTTTTTTTTTTTGTTTTTTTAGTAGAGATGGGGTTTCACCGTGTTAGCCAGGATGGTCTCGATCTCCTGACCTCATGATCCACCCGTCTCGGCCTCCCAAAGTGCTAGGATTACAGGCTTGAGCCACCGTGCCGGCCCCTATTTTCTACCAGTGTTCTTTAGAATTGTTTGTTTTAGGTGACTTAAAGTTTTAACTAAAGCATGAGTAACACTTGTTGGCATACAGTCCCTTCACCACAAATAATTGTCTTGCATTGTCTGCAAAGCAAGGATCAGTTACCTCACTTGTCCCCCTTCCCTACCCAAATAAACCTTACAACGCTGTTATTTGAGACTGTCCTGAAGTTGAAATCTGATGTTTAGATCCAAGCTGGACTCAGGCAAGCACTGCACCAGCAGAACATTCTCTTCCTGGTTCCCTTTAATCTTTATCCCCCTCTCCGAGGCCTGTCGATGGGGATTCCTTTGGTTATAGGCACCTCTGCTCGTTCATGCAGAGGGCATTGGCTGGAAGGACACTGGTCTGGGGAATATCCCTGAACCCCATGCCTCTGGGGGCGCGGGGAGGGGCATCGAGCAGGTGGGATGGATTTCCACAGCTTCATCCCCGGCTCCAGGCCTAGCTGCCTCCCAGGTAATTAGGGCCCAGCAAGTCAAATACATGCTACGTCAGGTGGCGACAAGTGCTCCAAAGCCGAGTTCAGCTCAGTCAAGTGAGGACACATTTTCAGCACCTCACCTTCTTTTCTGCATCTCTGGAGCTCATCAGTCCTGCTTGTCTTTGTTCTCCCTTCTCAATCCACTGCCCTGACCTTGTCCATGTATTTTCCAGTCACTTAGCGTGGAGGAAGGGAATCTCATCCCATGGAGAATAGATGGTACATGGTCTTCACCTGACTTAAAATATAAAATGCTAAATTCGAAATAAGTGGGGCGGGGGGCAGTTATTTAAAAATAAAACCTACCAGCTTGCTGCCAGAAAGCTGGAGGGGACACATGGCTCTTCTGGGATTTGCAGTGTGAGGCTGTCTCCTCTCCAGGAACAAGGCTGCTGGGCACTAGAGGACTGGATCCTTCGAGGGTCCCAGATCCACTGTCACATAAAGTCACATCCGGAAGGAGACCTTCCTGCCAGCGTCCAGGGCTCTTTAAGCATAGGCCCTGCTTACCGGGCCTGGCTGCTGACAGGCGTTGGCTGCCTGCCCTCCAGGGGAGAGACTTCCTTGGGCTCTGTCTTTGAAAGGCTGTGGGCAGGTTGAAGGTGAGACTCGGGCCCCCTGACTGCAGCGAGCTGACCTGGCAGGGCAGATGCCATCACATCTGGGGGAGCCGGAGGGTGTCAGTGGAGCTTGGATGGGAACTTACCCAGCATCCTAACAAAGGTACAGAAGGACCAGGTGAACTCAGGGCTGATAACACATTACACAGTAATGGTAAAGTGGCATAGTAAGCAAACAGGTTTTCCTCTGGATTTACATATATTTTATTTTCCTACTCTTCCCTAAGCAAACAAGCCATAAGCAAGCGGGCTAAGTGTGCTCAGTAAAATCAGTAACACCTGGGATGACCTCTGCCCTCGAGGGACCACTGCAATCTTTGTCAAAGGCATAGGATGCTCCTGCTCTAGTCGCACTTGACCTAGGTGCCCTTTCCGCTACATGCAGACAGCCTCTAAGAAGAACAAAGAACGGAGGTGTCCAGGTTGGCTTGATTTCACCAGTTCACTCAGCTATGGCCACGATCTGCTGACATCAGCTCTGCAATTGAGAGGTCCCGTCTCCAGGGGGAGGTGGCCACGATCTGCTGACATCAGCTCTGCAATTGAGAGGTCCCGTCTCCAGGGGGAGGCTCGCTGGGCTTGCTTCTGCCGAGGGGACCCCCATTGAGGGTCAGTTCCCAGAGGAGAGTGGGGTGGGTCTGGAAAACCCCAAGGGGCAAGGTGGAGGAGCTCTCCTGTCGTAGCAGCTGGTCAGGGTCAGTTCTGCTCCCTGGCTCCACTGAACTCGCCTGAGCCCGTGAGGTCCCCAGGGGTTCCCTGTGGCACGGCAGGCACTTCTGGATGCAGAGCTGGAGGCTGAGGCTGTGACTCCAGGGGCATGTTGGGTGGTGCTTGGGGCTGTTCCTGTGAACGGAGCGGAGTGGGAGGCAAGCGTCAAAGTTGCAGAACAGTCCGTACTGTGGGGCTTGGGGGTTTCCTGCCACACCTGCCATCTGCCCAGACCCCATAGGGAAGGCCACACAGGCAAATTCCTGAGAAGGGTCAGCCAGCTCACCAAGGTGGCCATTGTAGAGAAATCTCAGAAGAGAGGAGGTGCTTTGTCAGGAACTAGGCCTCAGGTCTTTTCCTGGAGGCCACTTCTTCCTGTATTGATTTAGGATAGAGGGGATGGGGGCGTTGGAGGAGCAGGTTGACCTCCCATCCAGCCCTGTATCTGAGTGTACCTCATTTTATATCCGTAGCCCAAGCCAGCTTGTATCTTGGTGATATGGTTTGGCTGTGTCACCACACAACTCTCACCTTGAATTGTAATAATCCCTACGGGTGGTGGGAAGGACCCAGTGGGAGGTAATTGAATCACGGGGACGGGTCTTCCCATGCTGTTCTCGTGATAGTGAATAAGTCTCACGAGATCTGATGGTTTTGTAAAGGGGAGTTTCCCTGCACATGCCCTTTTGCCTGTGCCATGTAAGATGTGGCTTTGCTCTTCCTTTGCCTTCTGCCATGATTGTGAGGCCTTCCCAGCCATGTGGAACTGTGAGTCCATTAAACCTCTTTCCTTTATAAATTACCCAGCCTCGGATATGTCTTTATTAGCAGCTGAGAACAAACTAATACACTTGGCTAGAAATGCGTCCTCCCTGTGCCAGGCATGGTGGCTCACACCTGTCATCCTAGCACTTGGGGAGGCAGAGGCAGCCAGATCACGAGGTCAGGAGATTGAGACCATCCTGGAGAACATGGTGAAACCCCGTCTCCACTAAAAATACAAAAATTAGCTGGGCATGGTGGCGTGTGCCTGTAATCCAGCTACTCGGGAGGCTGAGGCAGGAGAATCACTTGAACCAAGGTGTCAGGTTGCAGTGAGCCGAGATTGCGCCACTGCACCCCAGCCTGGCAATAGAGCGAGACTCTGTCTCAAAAAAAAGAAAGAAAAGAAGAGAAGAGGAAAAGAGAAGAAAGAAAAGCGTCCTCCCTGGGTGGATTCTCCTGCCCAGAAAGTGCTGGGGCAGTGGACATGGCCATCTGGAGTGAGCTCTGGCCACCACTTCCCAGCTGCCTTTGACGTCATCCGTAAAATGGGACAGTATTGGCTCACAGATATCCTCAGGATGAAATGAGGTGACGTATAAAACGACTTTATATGTGGTTACAACGCTGGCACGAATGAAGAGTACCGGGTGATGAGCCCACTGGGCAGATGCCGTTCTTTCAGATGGCACTCACCCAAGAATGCCCTCCCTCCTCCCCTTCCTCATGGGAAGGTCAGCTCCTCATGGAGTGACTGCTAAATCTTGCTAAGGATCCACTTTGCTGCCCTGAGCATTCCAGGAATGTTACCAAGTGCCTTGAGAGCATTTTCTTTAGTAAGCCCTGTAGCTGGTCAGGATGTACAGTGTCATCAGTTTGCCCCTGTGAAATAGCCCAGAAGGCCTGTGCCCCGCAGGGAGCTGGGCACGGTGGAGGCAGCCTCTGGGCTTGCCGGACCAGGCCAGGGAGCTTTGTACCAGGAGGATTACTGACGATCCTTGCACACTCCCTGGCCCAGGGCGGCTGCAGGTCACCTCAGAAGAGTAGAAAAGAAGGGTGACATCACTCGTTTATCCCTCAGACGTGTCTCGGGTGTAAAAATGTGCTTAAATTGAATGTGAGTTCTAAAAACTGAAAGAGAAGAACAGATTTCAGGCTGTGCACGGTGGGCTCCTGACCTCAGTGGCACCATCTCGGTCACTGCAACCTCTGCCTCCCAGGTTCAAGCGATTCTCTTGTCTCAGCCTCCGTGTAGCTGGGATAATAGGCAGCAGCCACGATGCCCAGCTAATTTTTGTATTTTTTAATAGAAACAGGGTTTCGCCAAGTTGGCCAGGCCAGTCTCGAACTCCTGACCTCAGGTGATCCACGCACCTCGGCCTCCCAAAGTGCTTAGGATTACAGGTCTGGAGTTTGAGACTGGCCTGGCCAACTTGGCGAAACCCCGTCTCTGCTAAAAATACAAAAATCGACTGGGCGTCGTGGTGGGTGCCTGTAATCCCAGCTACTCAGGAGGCTAAGGCAAGAGAATAGCTGAACGTGGGAGGGCGGAGGTTGCAGTGAGCCGAGATCCGCCACTGCACTCCAGCCTGGGTGACAGAGCGAGACTCATCTCAAAAAAAAAAAAAATAGAATGAATTCTCATTTGCTGTAAAGCTACCTTCCATATGGGCCAAGTGGGGGGTGCAGAAATGGCCTGGCGAGGGTAGCCCTGGTGGGTGAGACACCGCGGGCAGGGCAGGCGGGGCGGGGAGGAGAATCAGAGGCCCCTTCGAGGTAACGCTGGGCTGTGGTGTGATGTGTCACCACCAAAACTCATGTGGAGGCCTGGTCCCCAGTGTGGCAACACTGGGAGGTGGGGCCTTTAAGGGGTAATGAGTTTTTTTCTCTAGACTGAATTAGATCTTTTTGCAAAACGAGGCCCTCACCAGAAGCTGAGCAGATGTCGATGCCATGCTTCCTAGACTTCTAAGCCTTCAGAACCATGAGCTAAATAAGTCTCTTTTCTTCATAAATTACTCAACCTCAGGTATTCTGTTACAGCAACAGAAAACGCTAAGATGCTGTGCGAATGCGCGAGTCCTTGGCTCCTCGTGGGACCTGGTGTGGGAGACTTTGGCTCAGGGGGTCCAAGGCCACTCAGCTCTTCCTCAGCACAGTTCAGCTCATCTCTCTGCTGACCAGCTTCCTACACTGAGGGTTTCCAGTCCCCAAGACTTCCGTCTGTAATGGACGTAACAGTCCATAATGGCACCAGCCCTAGCCCTCCTCCTGGACCAATCAGTGCAGCCCCATAGACACCAGGTCCATCCCTCAGAGTCTAGATTCCAAATTCCAAAGACAAGAATCTGACCAGTCCCAGCTCTTTCGCCAGGCCACACGTTTCCAAGGGCATGGGCCAGCCACTGGACAGGCCCTCTTTGCATAAGCGATGGCAAAATACAGGGTGCCTCCTAAGAACAGTCATTAGGAGACCAGCAGCTGTGAGGGCTGATTAGCCCAGAAGGGAACATGAGATGTGGCAGCCAATCCTCTAGCACAACAGAATTAACATAAAACATAAAACAAGCTGGGTTCCAATTACTCCTTAAAACTGGATTTCACCTCCAACATCCAATAACAGATGCTGGCCATAGGTACCTAAGGTAAGGATCTTTCTTTTTTTTTTCTTTTCTTTTTTTTTTTCTTTTGGAGACAGAGTTTTGCCCTTCCTGCCCAGGCTGGAGTGCAGTGGCACGATCTCGGTTCACTGCAACCTCCGCCTCCTGGGTTCAAGAGATTGTCCTGCCTCAGCCTCGTGAGTAGCTGGGATTACAGGCATGAACCACTACACCCGGATATTTTTATATATATTTTTTTTTTTCAGCAGAGACGGGGTTTCACTATGTTGGCCAGGCTGGTCTCAAACACCTGACCTCAGGCAATCCGCCCACCTTGGCCTCCCAAAGTGCGGGGATTACAGGTGTGAGCCCCCACGCCTGGCCAAAGGTAAGGCTCTTATGCTCCTGGTGAGCTGGCCAGCAAGACTTAATGTCCATGGTGTCAAGTTGGCTTCATTTTCTTTAACAGCTTTACTGAGATATATTTTCATTCCATGAGGTTGACTCATTTAAAGAGTACAATTCAGTGGTCTTTAGTACATCCACAGAGTTGTGCAACCATCACCACAATCTAATTTTAGAACTTTTTGTTTGTTTTTTTGTTGAGACAGGGTCTTGCGCTATCACCCAGGCTAGAGTGCAGTGGTGTGATCACAGCTCACTGCAGCCTTGACCTTCTGGGCTCTAGTGATCCTCCTGCCTCAGCCTCCCAAGTAGCCGGGACTACAGGTGCATACCACCATGTCCAGCTAATTTGTTAATATTTTTTGTGGAGACAGGGTCTCGAACTCCTGGGCTCAAATGATTCTCCTGCCTTGGCTTCCCAAGGTGCTGGGATTACAGGTGTGAGCCACTGTGCCTGGCTTAATTTTAGAACTTTTTTTTGTTTTTGAGATGGAGTCTCACTCTGTTGCCCAGACTGGAGTATAGTGGCACAATCTCGGCTCACTGCAACCTTTCTGCCTCCTGGGTTCCAGCGATCCTTCTGCCTCAGCCTCCTGAGTAGCTGGGATGACAAGTGTGCACCACCACGCCCAGCTAATTTTTGTATTTTTAGTAGAGACAGGATTTCCCCAAGTTGGCTAGGCTGCTCTTGAACTCCTGACCTCAAGTGATCCACCAACCTTGGCCTCCCAAAGTGCTGGGATTACAGGCATGAGCCACCGCGCCCAGCTTAATTTTAGAACATTTTTATCATCCCCAAAAGAAACCCATCAGCAGTCATTCCCCCTTCCCTGCTCTCCCCCCAGCCCTAGGCAGCTGCTAATCTGCTTTCTGTCTCTGGATTTGCGTACTCTGGATGTTTTGTGTGAAAGGAGTCATACGACTTGCAGCTCTGTGTCTGTCTTCTTTCACTTAGCATGATGTTTCTGAGGTTCGTCCATGTTGCAGTATGGATCGGAACTCCGTCCCTTTTTATTGCTGAATACTATTCCATTGTAGGGACGTAAGTTGAGCATCCCAAATCCGAAACTCTGAAACGCTGCAAAATCTGAAACGTATTGAGCACTGACATGAGGCTCAAAGGAAATGCTCGCTGGAATATTTCGGATTTCTGGATTTGAGATGCTCGGCTGGTAGGTACAATGCAAATATTTTTAAATCCCAAATCTGAAACACCTCTGGTCTCCAGGATTTTGGATGAGGGATACTCGACCTGCACCATTACTCACTGGAGAGCGTCTGAGTGACCCAGAGACCCACACCCCTTGTTACTCACTTCATCTGCGGGGAGCCCGACCAGGACATGTAAAGCAGGATGAGGAAGAGGAGCAGCACGAAGGCAGCCAGGCTCACCCAGAAGGCGATCACGATGGAATCTGCGGGAGGAGGAGATGCATCTCAGCGCTGGGTTGGTGTTGACATAAAGCAACACTGGGGGGCAGTAAGGAGTCCCGGGGTATTGTGGAATGAGGGCCCTGAGTTTCAGTTGTCCTCCAGCCTCTCAGCTGTTACCATGGGGAAGATCTCCCATTAACAATCACTTTGGGAAAGAACAGAGAAGCCAAGAAGCGTTTTTTTTTTTTGTTTTGTTTTTGTTTTTCCTCAGGGCAGCTGGCCACGGAGTCTGTTTAGGGTGATTGTCTGTTAAGAGGAAACACTGAACGGAATTATGTGCTTCCTTCCCCCACTCCGCCCCCCGCCCAACCCCACGCATCTGCTTGCCCAGCTCCTAGTGGTGCTCAGAGGAACAGTTCTGAAGGATGGGAGGGAGAGGAGAGGGCTGTGGGCAGCTCCGAGTATTAGGAAGGACTCCTGGGCCCCCGGGAGGGATCTAGCGCCTACCAGGGGCTGTTGGTGGAACAGCTTCTGAGACCCCAAGAGTTGATACTCTTAAGAAGGATGCGCGCTGGGCTGCAGCGCGCTGGCGGAGAGGCCCTTTCCGCTCTACAGGAGTTAGCCTAGGTCTGCTCATGCCTGGATTGGCGAGGTGGAACTAGCGAGTCCCTCTCTCAGGCAGAAAGTCTCATCTCAGGGGCTGTGGCAGGAAGGAGAAAGCACTTTTGCCACCAGCACGATGGCCGGATTTGTGGCCTGAGGCTGAAGGGGGAAAAGGAAACCAGGAAACACAGTTAGCCTGCCTGGGGCCCTGGATAGAAGAACCTGGCAGACCAGGAGGGGCCTTTCTCCTTCTCCAGACTCCAGTTTGGGAACGTTAGGCCAGTTGCTATGGAACTACTTTCCAGCACCACGGTTTTTCTTGGTGGTTGTCTGTGGCTGTGGGCAGTCCGGCCCGTAATTCGGGTCTGCGAGTGTCTCATCCCAGACCAACTGCATAATGCCAAATGCCACAAGATGGGATATTCTAGACACCTACGTGTGTCACCAAAAAGGGCTACTTGCGGATGATAAGCTAACGAGAATTCACCGAGCACCTTTTGTGAGGGACTGTTCAGGATTCAGAGGGGGCTAAACCAGCACATGAGAAACTGCTAACTCCCCCCACCCTCCTCCTCCTCTGAACTTCTGCAGTGCTTCCAGCACTAACGCTGTCGGTAAATGAGTAAGAGAATGCACAAACCACTGAAAGAATGAATAGAGTGAGAGTAATGTATACAGAGGCGGAGGTGGAGGCTCTGGGGTGAAGATTGGTGCTTGAGCAAAGGGTGTCATCTCTGCCATCCACAACCCCTGAGAGAGAGAAGGAAAAACTGAGGATTCATAAGAGGTGACCTCGGACCCTAAACTTTAACATTAAAAACAGGGTATAATGGGCTGGGCACAGTGGCCCATGCCTATAATCCCAGCACTTTGGGACGCCAAGGTGGGAGGTGGATCACTTGAGTCCAGGAGTTTGAGACCAGCCTGGGCAACATAGCAAGACCCCATGTCTAGAAAAAAATTTTTTTTAATTACCTGGGCATGGTGGTGTATGCCTATAGTCCTACCCCTTCATGAGGCTGGGACTGGAGGATCACTTGAGGCCAGGAGTTCAAGGCTGAAGTGAGCTATGATCACGCCACTGTGCTCCAGCCTGGGTCACGGAGCGAGACACTGTCTCGGGGGAAAAAAAAAAAAAATCCCCCTCAAAACAGGGTATAATGAAAAGGCACAGGTACTTGCAAAAGAATCATGAGCATCTACTGCCTTGTAATCTTCAGCAACTTGGCATTTACACTCCGTGGGGGCAGGGACAGCAAAGACCGCCAGGCTGGCTCTCACGTCGCTCCTCTCTGTCTCTGAGCTGAGGAGCTGATGCCGTCCCCTAGAACAGTGAACTTTTTAAGGGCACCTCTGGATTCCTGGGGAAAGGGAAATGAGATTGGACTGTGTGTCCTAAATTTAAAAGGAATTTTTATTTTATTTTATTTTATTGAGACAGAGTCTTGCTCTGTCACCAGGCTGGAGTGCAGTGGCACCATCTCAGCTCACTGCAACCTCCGCCTCCTGGGTTCAAGTGATTCTCCTACCTCAGCCTCCCGAGTAGGATTACAGACACCCACCACCACGCCCAGCTAACTTTTGTATTTTTAGTAGAGATGGGGTTTTACCATATTGGCCAGGGTGGTCTCAATCTCCTGACCTCGTGATCCACCCGCCTCAGCCTCCCAAAGTGCTGGGATTACAGGTGTGAGCCACTGCGCCTGGCCAGCTTAAGGACTTTTGAAAGAAGCTTTTGACTCTCTTAGCCTTCCTTGCCCACTCGCTGTACATTGTCCTACACTCCCCAAGAGTCACAATCTATTTTACAACCCTTACAGTGTAAGAGTACATATGCTGTCAGAAAATGTGGTTGGAAGTTTTATTCTGTAGGGATATTTTAGGTTTCTGCAGACACTAATGTTCTTTTGCCTTCCTAAAAATAGTGCAGGGTTTGAGGTCTTATAGCACCTGGGTAAGTTCTACCAGGGATCTAAAGGAATAGCTTCAAACTCAGCACCTGAGAGCCCCCTTCTCCCAGACTGACACTTGTCTGAGTCCTTGTCGTTATCCCCAGATATTGAGCAAGAAATAAGATGACAGGTTTCACAGAACACAGTGTCTTCAGATAAGTGGAGTTTAAGTTTTGTCAGACCAAAAGGCAATCCTCCGCCACTAGTCATTTTCGGTACTAAAATCTCTTTCATCATGTTCTGTTGAAAAAAACAGGCAAGAGAATACGATTCTTTTTCCTCTTCCTACTGAAGGTTCACCCGAGTGCTTGGAGAGAACATTTCATTCCAAAAGCAAGAGCTGTGTGACTCTCTAGTGTCAGGAATATTTAGACATCCCTAAGCTGGTTTTCCCAACAGGGAGCCCCAGGCTGGGTTGACAATGAAACTGGTCCAGCCATAGAAACTTACCTCCTCTCCTCTTTCCTATCCTCCCTTCTCCTCCCTGCCTGTTCTTTCTCCTTTCCTTCCCTCTCTCCTCTCTTCCCTCCTTCCTTTCTTCCCTCCTTCCTTTCTTCCTTTCCCCTCTGGGTCCACACTGCTGGAATGAGGGGAGTTAGTCATCGGCAGTGGAGTGACAGGAAAGGTTCTGGGTGGCATGGCCAGGCTGCACTTCATCTTGGGAGGATTCTCATCGAGTTAACAAATTAATCCAATCGAAGGGCTCCTTCTTATAGTAGGCACTTCTGTTTTGGTAAATAAACAGTTCTAGCATTCCTCCGTTCTTCATTCTACTAACGTTTGGGTTCCAGAGCTCCAGTAGAAAATCAAGATGTGGCTGGGCGTGGTGCCTCAGTCTGTAATCCCAGCACTTTGGGAGGTCAGGACAAGAGGATCACTTGCGGTCAGGAGTTCGAGACCAGCCTGATCTACGTGGTGAAACCCCAACTCTACTAAAAAAAAAAAATACAAAAATTAGCTGGGCTTGGTGGTGCGTGCCTGTGGTCCCAGCTACTCGGGAGGCTGAGGGAGGAGAATTGCTTGAACCCAGGAGGTGGAGGCTGCAATGAGCCAAGATTGTGCCACTGCACTCCAGCATGGGTGACAGAGTAAGACTTGGTCTTAAAAAAAAAAAAAAGATGTTTTCCTTATTAGGGAATAATAATGTGGTTAAGAACCCAGGCTCTGGAGGTGGGTGTTCCCTGGCTAACCTCTAAATCTGCTTATTTGTAAACTGAGGATAGTAGTACCTATTAAATAGGTACTACTTATATAGAATTACATAAGCATAAATTAAATGTTAGGAGAATTAAATAAAATATCTACATAAATGCTAATGGCACCATTTCTTATTCTGTGTTTATGAAACAATTTATAAATAGAACTAAAATTATTATCTGTTAAGAGGATTTTGTGGCAAGTAATATCATTGTATCCTTCAAGTTCACCCAAATGTCGGATATGGGTACAGGGAATTGTGGGGCGCGATGGTTCACGCCTGTAATCCCAGCACTTTGGGAGACCAAGGTTGGTGGATCACCTAAGATCAGGAGTTCAAGACCAGCCTGGCCAACATGGTGAAACCCTGTCTCTACTAAAAATACAAAATAAAATTAGTCAGGCATGGTGGTGCATACCTGTAATCCCAGCTAGTCGGGAGGCTGAGGTAGGTGAATTGCTTGAACCTGGGAGGCGGAGGTTGCAGTGAGCCGAGATCGAGCCACTGCACTCCAACCTGGGTGACAGAGTGACAGAGTGAGACTCCATCTCAAAAAAATAAAAAGAGGGCATTGTGGCATAGGTTACTAGCTGTCAACCCTAAGGTCAGCCCCTTGTATGCTTCCATTGTAATAGGATCCTTGCTTTTAGCAGAACACATGGCCGCCTGAGTTAAAAACTACATTTCCTTGCCTCCTTTTCAGAGAACCATGTGATAAGGTTCTGGCCAACGTGATATGAGGGGAGCCATCACAGGACAGCTTCTAGAAGCCTCCCTCCAGGGATTGCTAGACTTCTAGCACCGTGTGTCCATTTTTATTCCCTTACTCCATGTTGCTCCCTGAACATGGATGTGATGGTCAGAACGTGTCTTGCAGCATGAGGATGAGGGCGGCCATGTCCCAGGGATGGTAGTGCAATGAGCTGGAAGGATGTGAGTTCCTAAGGACTCCGTGGAGCCACCTCACCAGCCCAGTCCTGTAGACTGAGAGAAAATAACTTCTGTTTCACATGGTACTCTGTTAGTTGTAATCCCTTTTCTTTACCAAGCCAGCAAAGAAACGGACATTCTCAATGAATGTACCAGAACTTAAAAATCCAAATGAAAAGTGACCTTCAAAATACTCATCCTCTCTGTACCATGGAGTCATAGAATTCTTACTAAAACACACGTATTGATCAAACACTTATAGATCTCTTCTTTTGGAATTACCTTCAAGGAGTCACACATAGACACAGTTTTGCTAAGTTGTAAGATAATTCATTTATGACATCCAGATGGTATCAAC